TAAGCGTTTCCCTTCTGTGGCTGTTGGATGCAATTGGAGGCCAAGCTGCCATCGTCTCAGGTTGGGATTTGGGTAGGAGGGGGAGGGAGATAATCCTTTTTTCATCACATTAAATTAAACTATACCTTTTAATTCTGTCTAATTAAATTTCTCACTGGAAAATGGAAATGTTATTTCTTAATATTTTTTCACAAAACATGTCAGGAAGCATTTTGGAAGAGGCGTGCCTTGGCGCTGGAGGCAGCTATCTGGGGCATCATGGGACATGCCTGGGGCTCTCTGATGGGTGAGGATCACTCCATGGCTGGCAGCTCCTGAGTCCATCACACGTCCTAGACTGACTCACCTCCACACATGCATTCAGACCCTGGGAAAAATACAAATCCAGCCAAGACAGGATCCAGCTGTCTAGGATACACAAGGTCTTGGTGCTATCCCACCCCCTTGGACTCTCCTGGCAGAGAATGATGTGTTCCCAAAAGCCCTTGAAACACCCAAGCAGCTCTACAGTTGTTGCGCTCTACACAGCCATGGTCCTGCACTCCTCCTCCTGCAATGTCAGGCTGCGGTGGTTGGATCAGTGGATGGATCCAAGGTGCTTTGGAAAAATAAAAAAAAAAACACTGAGGCTTTTTAATTTTTAAAGCAAAGCTGTTTGGGAGCCCAGTTTCAATTAGATTTCAGTGGGCTGCATCCCCTAAATCATGTAAGGGCTGGCTGGCTTACAAATGCCAGGCTTTTCTCTACTGACACAGAAATATAGCTAGAGCTTTGCAATTCTAAAGCACTTAAAAGTAATTGGCATTTTCCCCTTTATGTTCCAAGATGTGCTCAAGGGAAGTAACCCAATAGGCAGGAGAGCATCTCTGAGGCCTCTGAACTATGCTGGCTTCATGAAGGAAGAAATCCAATACAGCGAATTGCAGCAAGGAGTCACCTGAAAGCAAGGGCAGGCCATGAAGGAAGCAACGTGTCCGTCTCTCTGTCCTCCTGGCTTAGAGAGCAGAAGGAGTTTCCATCTGCTCTTCAGATCCCCAGTACCACAGCAAAGCTGTATCACTGCGCCAGACCAGAGGGAGCTACAGCAAGATCAGGCACCAGCTCAACAGAGCGGAGAAACCTAGATCTGACGCGGGGGCATGTGCATCACGGCTGAGATGGAGGTGGTAAGTCCCAAGTTGCACACATGTGATCAGGAATTTCCGATTTCAAGGCAAAAATAGCAATGTTGGCATTTCTTTTGCCAAGTTGGAGAGGATAATGAGATGTGAACAGTGGTAGAACTGTCTGCCCAGGTCAGCACGCAGCCTGGAGCCAGTTTGGGAAGAGATGAACCACACAGCATTTACCTCCGAGGCTGAAACACAAACACTCCAGTGCCAACACTCTAGCAAGAGCTGCTCGTTTGCAAAACTGTTAATTCCACACCTACATGCCACCGAGCAGGACCATGTCCCATCAGGACCAAAACAGGAATGAGCTCTGCCCCTAAGCGAGCTGGCTGAATTAAAGCAGTTATCTCCATCTGGAGGGTACCAGTGGGGAGTGACAATTTGGGGGAGAAGGGGCGTGCAGAACCTGCTATCCCAGAGCATCTACTTTTGCGGCAGGTGAGGAACCCTGGCAGATAGCCTCCATGAGATGGGAAGAAACACCTGATCTTGTAGCTAAGGTGCGGGGTCTGAGACTGAAGGACTCAAACTCGTGGGTGGGTGAGGCAAATCTCACAACTTCAGACACCAGCAAAGTAAACAGCCTTACCCGAGCTTTCCAGCCCAAGGCTACTCTTGAGACAACGCACGTAAATGGGCTTTTCAAGGGAGCTCTGTTTTTGAGCTCAGCCTGACAACGAGGTGAATTGAAGAATGCTCAAGAAATGGGCTGCATCTAGAAGCAGCTTAGATGGCCAGAGTATTTGGACTCAGGACGCCTGGCACTGGTGTCCCTGGAATTGAGGGGTGAGGTCCCATGTGAGCAGAGGGTCCCTCACAAACACAGTTGGACCCTTTGGTACCTAAACTCTGTCTGAGTCCCATTTCACACACCTCAACCCTTCAGGCTTCCTTTCCCCTGCACTGCTGAACACAGAGCTAAGCCTCTTCCATTCCCACCCTAGGGAACAGTCTCCAATACCCAAAGCACTCACTGTTGTCCTCAGATGGAGACCTCTGAGCTCACCCCACCATCCCCTTCTAGCCTCCTCTGCCCACAGACCTAAGTCCTCATGATCTGGGGAGGTACTGTTGCCCCACTGGTCTCCCTCACTGGCTAGCTGCTGCGTTTCGGGATCCTGCCAACAGCTCTACCTTGTCAGCTGAGAAATGTTCCCCAGCCTTAACCCAGAGGGGCTGGCAGCCATCTCCCGACCTGCACAAGAGAAGAATGTCAGGCACATCGTGAAATACAAGTCCTGCTTCCCAGAACTGTCAGGCTCCATTAGCGCCAGAGTGGCTTGACAATGTAAGGGTTTTAAACCCCAAACCACCGTGCTAGCGAAGTTTCCCTTGAGAATGAACCACCCGCAAGCTGAAATGCAAGCCCAAGGCACGGGCAAGCCGATGCAGGCAGACACGCCCACACAGATATTCTCTATCCATTTTCAGAGAGGCTCCTTTCCCCTTCGTGAGGCACGGCTGTTTATTTGATTTTTTGGTGCTCAATCCTCAACCTGCCTTTAAAATTAAACCCAGCCTCAGCTCCAGGACACTAGCTTTGCTCCATCATACTGGAAAATAAAGCAAACCTAGATGCAGAGCCAGCTCAGACTGTGGGAGACATTAGACATGTTATTAAACCCAAACACTAACCCATTCTTGTTTAAAGTGATGTTTGGTGCAGAAAGCGTAAGAAAAGAAGTGCATAAGGATGCAAGAAGTCATCCCTAAGGATGGGGACGACAGGAACCAAATCAGTGCCTCCAACCCCCAGGTTTCTATGAGCCCTAGACTTTCCACCCTAACTCAGGGACAGTCACTTTTAATGCAAGGACAGACGAACGCATGGGTCACATCACCACGTGAAGAGCACACAGCACCCATCAGCAGGGAAAAGATGAGGAGAGAGAGTCTGGTGAAGGGAGCTTTGCGAAATGGAGTAGCTGAGGGAAAAGTCATGGTTCAAATCCCGTTTAACCCAGGGCAGAGCTGCAATCACTTCACGTCCCTGGAAAACACCTGAAGCACCCTGCTATCTCTCTCCTCTTACTGCTTTCCTGCCAGCCCTTGTGCTCCAGCAGCACCACACTGGTCTTGTCTGCAGATGTAGAAGGGGCTTGGGAGAGGCACCAAAGGAGTGACAAAGGCTGAGAGACTGGTAACAAACCTCCCTGTGCCTTTAAAGGGTGGCTTCCAGCAGTGGCAACAGAAGCACTGAGGGACCAGGGGCTCACGGGGTCACACACTGCCTAAGCAGGGGTCTGAGCAATTTGACCAAACCCTGTTATTTTTCAATGCAAGTATTTAAAGGGAGAAGGGAGAGAGCATTCAAACTGCTCTGAAGTTATATATCGACCATGCAGGCTTTCACTATCAGTTCTGGGCTCTGGGGATCCTGGACCCCTTTTCCTTCATGCAATGAGACCCAGGATGCAGTGGACAGGCTTCAGCCCTAGGCGAGAAGCAACGCACAGTAGGAGAGGGTGGCAATGCAGGGCTGGGTCACTGCAGGAGTCCTGCCTCTCTGGACCCTACCCACAACACTGCTTCACCATTTAAGTTCACATATTGAAATAAAAAAAAAAAAAAAAAAATCGAAGTGACAATTCAAAAGCAAAACCGCATGTCATATGCTGTTACAAACAGATCAGAGTATTTCTCCTGTTCCTTCACAAGTCCCCGACTTCCTCTCCACCCTCACCAAAACCCCATGCAGCAAAGATCCTGTCTGTATTTAATGTTCTAAATACTCACGCTATTTGGTGATGATCCATTTGGTAGGTTTTTCAAGGTCCAGATATCAGAAAAAGAAACCAAGAAGAAAAACAAAACTCCACAGATCTGCCAACCAAGGAAAAGGAAAAAAAAAAAAAAAAAAAAAAAGGCACTAGCACTTCATAGCACTTCATACACAATCCAAACAACATGGGAGGAGGCAATGCACGCGCACATTACAAAAATCTTGAGAACAGCCTTGCAGGGGATTAAAGCCTTCTATGCTCAGTGCAGTGTCATATAGTTGTGTCTACGCTAACACGCTTTGCACATTTAGGAGTAAGTGAAGCTGAACTCTAATGTGCAGTACACTCAAGAGGTCAGTCATTAGGAAAACAGTACAGACATCTGCAGTTAACTAAAAAATATCAGTGGAATTATTCACGTACAAAAAGTTACAGGAACATGCATTTGGGAGGAAGCAGGTACTTAAATAAATCCTTTCCAAATGAACATACACAATAAAAATGGAATTAACACCTGTGCAGATAAAATACTTCTGCTCCCTTACATGGTGATGCTTGCATTGCATTTTCAGTTGTTCGTAGTAAGATTCCTGATGGCTCTGAAAACATGACATCATCTCTGTAACGGTGCAAAGAACTGCATGTCACACAAGGCTTTGCTTCTTGATCTTGTGGCATTGTTTTGCAGATAATTTTCCCTGTTAATAACAAACAGGATTTGGGAACCTTCTGACCCTGCAGGAGTCTGGAGCTTTTTTTTTTAAGGGGGCAAAAGAAGTCTCTAATACCCATTTTTCATGACAGCGTGTTCAAAAGTAACCTCAGCAAAATAAGGAAAAGAAAGAGAG